TACCTCAGTGGGGCCACAAAATTTTGTAATAAACTGGTCCGAGAGTTCCAGCTGCTGCACCAGTTGGTCTATGATAGACTGCACCTTTGGTTGACCTCCCGGCGGTTGGACGGTCAACTGCGAGTATGCGAAACCAATGATACCGTCGGTGGAGGGTTGGCGAGTAGAAGTCAAGAGTGATGTTTCCCCTGGTACGACCAACAGCTGAGTCACAAAGGCGTTCATTTGGGATTCCCCTGCCGAGTGGGGGTCTGTTCAAGGTGAAAACCATGCATTATTCAGGTGGGAGGGGGGGCATATGCGCTATTTCTTTTTGCCTTCTTTTAGGCCCAAAAGAATTATATTTACCTACGAAACTTTCACCGGCGCGGTGAGGCAACAATCACAATAATCCAAAGAATGCTTCGAAATGTTTTTATTTTAACTGATCCCATCACATGTTATCCATGTCTGCGTTAACTGCGCATACACGTTTGCTCTACCGCAGATACCGTTCCTACTCCGCGAATTGAATGTTTGATAAATCCTTGAATTATTCATCATATCATATAATTACATAATGTTTGTCCTTCCGTTAAATCAACTGAGTGACTCTGAAGTGCGCTCATGACAGCACAGGTGTGTTTAGTAAGCCCTATGTACAATTAGACCAGCACGAACCGAGACAGCTTCCTCAAAGAAGGCTCCAGACAGAGACCCTGTATGATTCATTTTTACCCTATAAAGGCACGGCTGGAAATGTTGGGCAGTAAAATTTGAGTCCGTAATGTACAAAGAATGCCGTAGGTTCTCGAGTTATATGTTCATGCAGAAATTACTAGGAGGACTAAGACAGTGGTCTGGTAAGAGTATTTTATAAGTATCGTGAACCTCAGAATTGTGTAATGCTCCCTTCTATGTAGTGGTAACAAATAAAATAACCATTAGGTCTACTAGGAATCCGTAATCACAACAATTGAAAAGTTTATTGTATAGGCAGATTGTATTGCCGACAAAGACAAGAGAGACTGGAATAGCCATTTCTGGCATATAAGCCATCGTCAGCCAGCCATACCCAAACCCAAACGGTGCCTCACCCGAGCCTTGAAATCACAACCTTATTTGATCAGAGTTCAACACCCTGACCATTGAGCCACGAGCTCGTTGTCTTGTCGTTTTTAAATCAGAGGATATTGGCACGCCAGTCTCCCTTGCCTTTGCCGGCAATACTATCTGTCTATACTACCAGCTAGGGCTGTTAGGGACTCTGTCGAGGCTAAAGGCCGAGCGGTATATATGAGTTCCGTTAGCAGTTGGTGGTCGCTCATCAAGGAGTGTCGATTGAACAGTAGGTTAAATGAAACTATGTACGTAGTAGATACATAGGACAGTTCGAACGTCGTTTTCGACGATGTCCGCAATGGACTTCAGCAAGCTGAAGGTAATCATGGTGACTGTAACTGAATTATATTGAAAGTATACTCACAGGATCTACCCCACTCTCTCACTACTCCCACAACTATACCCGCTGTCAAGACAAAAGTCGAGAAGACCGGAGATGGGGGAGGGCGCAGGCGGCTGGCGCGAACAACACTCCAATACGCGTCCCAACAGCCCACACTGCTAGGTAGACTCCCGCTTTCGAGGTAGTGCCATCAAAGCCACATTAAATAGGAGCCATTGTAGCCGGACTATTAGCCCGCCAGTCGGTCACTCCACACAACAAAACACACGCTGGG